ACGGTATTTGGACTGTGTTCATTTAATGTTGATAACACTTTGTAATGTTTACGCTCAATAGATACATTAGAACCACGCCGTGGACAACACTGTTAACATAGATAAATAATTCAATCCGAATGTGAGATCGATTCAACGTAGGCGTGGACGTATGTAACAAAACATTTTTGACTTTTCGGCTTCTAAACACTTTTTCAATTGCCACAAAATGATTATTTTTTTTATTACAGACCATTGGGAATTTAAGTCAGGCCTCAGCAAGATAGATATAAACACACATTCTAGAATTTCATTGCTTTACTTTGAATATAGTTCTTTAGGAAACATTGATATAATACAATTCGTTCAGCAAGTGGATTTCTTAAGATTGAAGATTGAAGAATTATAAATTAAATTATAAAATGTTCATCAAAGTCTTACTTGTTAAGACAACAATAAGCCTAACATTGGTCACTCTTTATTAATTGAATTGTTATTATTCTTTATTTATAAAGCACTTTTTACTAGCATTTACTCTTGTTTCGTTTTATGTATATCTAATGTTCAGATTGTGCAGAATACAGTTGTGAATTTTTAATGTTACGGCTATCGTATTTGGTATAATATAATTATTTTGAAATGTCAATTCACAATGAAGGAGGCATAAAAGTCATATTGTATGCTCCTTCATATGAGTGTTATTGACAAAAGAAACGCACGAGTTTAAACAAATGCTGGAAGGTTATTTATTTTGTAGACATTTTCAAATTAGATCAATTCCCCTAAGCACCATATCTTAGTCAATGATGTATCACTCGAATTTAAATTCAAACACGTACTTTAGAAAATGAAAGTATTCCTTTAAAACCAAGATAAATCTGCTTTCACCAATTCCGAAATGACATTCATGTATATTTTTTTTTATTTTTTTCAAGGAAAGATGCCATTTTACCCATAAATGCAACTCATTCATAAAAATAATATACAGTTTTGTTACTTTTGATCTGAGGTACTGAATTTAGATTTTGCTAATCTTCATTATGTTAAATAGAAATACAGAGAAAATGCTATTGTATACGATAGGAATTTCTGTAAGATATAAGTGTCAACATGAATGCAATGGCTAATCAGTGTCATGAATTGACCCAAAATATTCTGACGATGCTCATTAATAGAACTATCGTATTTCCTTTTCATTTGATATAACTTTATATTTTGATACTAATGGTATATTCTGATACTAATTGATTATAATATTGACCTTATAGTTCAGACTTGGTTTTTAATGAATTATCTTCAAGATATTTTGAGATGATATGTTTGCATTTGTGGCAATTTGATCAGTGGCGACATATGGAGATATCTAAAATATTACATTTGTAGTTTGCATTGTAAACGCCAGAAATATCATTTTCAACTATTTGCAACATATGTTTGTTGATTTTTGTAAATTTACAAGAATGCATTAGATGTAATGATCAATATATGCACATGTTACGCTTTTATATCGGTATTGCTGCATATTTAAGATAAAATTTTGATTTTCTTTTATCAGATCCGAAATAAGATTGCTTTAAAATCAAAACGTATTGAAACAAGTTTCATGTGGCCAATTGCGTTCTTGTTTGTTGTCTTTGTTTTGTTGTTAGTACAGAAGTTTCAACGGAAAGTATAAATTCTAATGATAGTAATATTAATATTTTGTTAAAACAGCGAAAAAAGTCCTTATCTTATTTCTTTCTATTATATTTCATTGGGCAGACATATATATTGTCGGATCATTTTTCATGTTTTCTTCAATACGTTTTTGAAAAGCAAAAATTCCTTGATGACAATAGAAACAAAAAAGAAAGGTTAAACTCTTATATTCGGTTTTTTATATTCTTTTAATGACAAAATGAAATCATCTCTCCTCTGAAAAGACCTCTTTATGGCGCAGGCCTAGCAACAACTTAAGAATTTATTTCAACGATTTAAAATGAACACAAAACGATAAAGACGAATCACGTTTTATTCGCAAAGGGCTTTCTTCATTTGGGTCAGACTTTCAATGGTTTGGAGCAGATTTCGTTCAAAATGCCAATTACATGTTCTCGACATAAAGAAATCTATGTAGATTATTTGCATAATGACATATGACAAATTCAGGCAAATCGCATTCCCTTGAGGATTGTTGAACTGAAAGTAGAGACAAATAAAAGTCCGGTATGTGTGACTTCCACTTTGGAACAGTCAGACGATATCTGACACAATGGATGAGAAATAAAAGATATTGTTGTAAATATTGATCATAAGTGTATAATTTAAAAGCTAAACATCTAGTGCAAAGAATTGTTGTTTAATTTTTTCAACATATTACTAGTCTCCCAAAATGATTGTATGGTGAGAATAAGGTTTTAAAATGCCTTAAAGGTGAAAGGAAATAAATCATTGCAAAAAAAACACGGATAGAAATCTACTTAAAATAGCTGCATATCATTTTATCCGGGACATGTTATTCTGTTCATGTACAATAGTCATGTGTTTTATCTAACAAGGATTTCTTATATTATAATTATATTATAATTCTTTCGAGAATATACCATACTAGTATGGAAGCAATATGATTTTAATGTTTTATTTTATAAAAAAAACATATTTCATAAGCTATAGTTTTATACCCTTTAACAAATATAAAGCATATTTAAATTGAAATTGAAAGAAGTTCGATTATTGCTAAATATGTTCTCAATGTGACTAGCAAATTGCATATTCCACAGCAACAAACCGTGCCATCTTTACATCTAAACAGCATTCTCATTGAACCTACAAATGTTACACCCCTTTTTCTTATCATCATATTAATATCTATATTGTTATACACTTTAAAGAATTGATAGATGACATATCTGTTAAATCTTCATAAGCATCGAAGTAATTAATTTTGCATAGCATCAGTAAAATGCAATATGCCGTTTGATGTTGTTTACAAATCTTATTAATTTTTTATTCCTACATACTAAGAGCTTCATTGTGTGGCTTAAAATTCTTATCTGGGACTAATCTCACGAAAAATTACAATGCAAAAGGCATTGTATTAAAAGGAGAAGGAAAACAACGTCTTAGATTAATCTTTCCATTAGAAATTGTCTGAGTGCTTAATATTCCAATTATTTTAAGTGGTAATTATGTTTTCGTTTACTGTGATTACATGTAGTACAGTGTAATATGTGTGTAAGGAAAATTTAACATTTTAAATTAATATTATATAAACGATATCTCTTTTTGTACAAAATAGTCCATTCGGCATGACGGATGTTAATCTGCGTCCTATGTATTGATTGAGGTGCATAACCTGTGTACGGAAACTGTACTGTTACATAATGCTTGCATTCCCTAACACCAACACAAAATTTAGTTCTAAATTCATTTAAACCACAATCAAAATTAATATAAGTGTGATCTTAAAAGACAAATGTTGCTTGAAAAGACATACATTCATCAGTATGTATGCGTATATAAATTTAAAGTCAAATTGAAAAAAAAGAACAATATAGATTTTTTATTGAAATAAGGTACAAGTGTGTGTGCATATAATCACGTAAGCATAAACACAAAAATGCTCAAGGTGTTACATGCTAGATTTTAATATAGTCACAATAAAATCGGTTTACTTTAGTTTCATATTATAGGGCATTCGGTATAAAAGTAAAAACAAACATCAAAGGTTGTCAAATTAACACATATATTACAGAAACAACAGTAATCTGTGGATTGGTCAAATCATGTAATTAAAACTATTTCAAATTAATCCAGTCAAATGTCGCAATAAGGGTTTAATCTGAATTATAAAGATTTTTTTCGATAGCTTTTAAACCCATTGGCCTGTTTGTGGCAACTGAATCTACACATGTGAAAAATGCAAAGAAAGACAGATTATGGTCTGTACTTTTCGCTTTTTACTCAGTACATAAAACAGAAGGAAATAGCTTCGTTCAGATTTTACAAACAAGCTCCTGCATCGTGGTAAGGGTGAATAACAAGATCGTAACGGATAGTGCATAATTTATAGGCTTGTGCATGCATATTTTGTTTGCATTTGTTAGAGTCTATTGTCTGAATACAACAGATGTATGATATCATAGATGTATACAGATAAGCAATAAATCGTCAATAAAATGAGTCAATGCAGAACCTATTCTTTTGAAGTCACACACAGTACGATAGCAGAATGAATATTGAAATTATATAGACGATGAAAAGAAAAAGAATACTCCAGAATTACAAGAAATATGGCAATAACAAATGATACTAAAAATTTCCTTTTTTTATATTTGTGATAATCATGATTATTATGATGATCATGGTGGTAATAATAACGTTGCATCTATAATAAAAATTATAGTAATGATGATAGATATATTAAAATTAATGATTAAATTACTAATTACAATAATTATAGATCTTATTACAATAATAACAATATTGCCAAGAAAAAAAGAAAGAAAGGATTGCAAAATGATAATGATTTGAATAATCAAATTATAAACTTCAGATATTTTTTTTTTACTTTTTACTTTTTATTTATTATTTTTACTAAGTCGATTTTCATTCTAACCTGTTATATGTGCTACATGTAGGCAACAAAGTTGCATAATTTGTTTTACTTTTTATACTGTAGAAATGATTGTTTTGAACATTTGGCCTAATGACTTAGTTATGTACCTAGATTTCTTATTGTTCATCAGTGAAAGAGCTGCTAACAAATAAGTGTTATATTATTTGAATACAAAATAATAATTAAAATGCAAAACTTTATAAACGTCATTGTTTTCACTTAATAATTCTTCGTTCAAACTTTTCGTGCTATGTAAAAATTACAGTAAATAGCTATATATATTAATTTACAAATATAATTATTCTATAACGTTATAGCTTTACACTAAACGTGTCTATTTTACTATCAGCGCTTAAAGTATTATAATGCTTTAATACCGATCCGGTCTATCGACCATTGGAAAGCCAATTGCATGACTCTACTGCATACCTTTTCTATTGACTAAAGTATAGAGAACCACTCTCTGTTATAACATGGCATACAAAAAATCAGCGAGAATCGCTATAAAACGCTGAACATCATGTTTAGGGTAATTTTCGTATTGTTTTCTAACAGATATTGGTGACCGTAAATTTAACAGGTTTTTTTGTACTGTTAATTGGATTTCTGAGTACACATATTGATGGTTCATCAAATGAAGTGCCGGATAATATGACGTCATTAAAATAAGCGCGACGGAGATTAAATGAGTATAAAAAGAGCATGCGACAGATAATTTATTCATTAAATAATGATACAGAATGAAAAATGAAAAGCATGGCGGATAACGGATATGGTGAAATGGTATTTGTTCTCCTTCTTATGGGTGTTTTGACAACACGTGCTGCGCAGAATAACTTTGAACTAAATGTTGGTAAGTGTTTTTTTTTGTATCTATGTGTTTTATTTTGTTATACATGTTATAGTTATTAAATTACAAATGGAAAATGTATATACCTATGCAGACTTGATTTATCTATGTTATGTTATTTTTTCATATTAAAAACATTGCATTTCTTGATATAAAAGCACTTAACTTAGTCCTTTTCTTCGCGATTTACTTTGCTTTTAGAATAAATCACTATTCAATGAATTCTCTTCATTTTGAGTACTACATATGAATTGAAATTAAAATTATAAGCTTAAGAAAGATAAGTGTGAATGATATAGCTATTAATGATCCGATTCAGACAAATTTACATAGCAAGATAAATCGTTTGGTTGATTTAATAATAAAACACGGCGGAAACACTTGAAATAAGCATGTCTGATATGCTTTTTATCGAACAGGATACATTCATTGTATGATATAAAACTATTAATTACCTTGACTGATTTTGAAAATGTGTTTTAATGTTATGAAAAAGGCGATGCTATTTGTTACAAGTGTTAAGGATGATGATCAAGTTGATATAGCACTTGTAAAAGGTGTTGATAAAAACTAATTATTACAGTAAGATCATATTTAAATGATAAGTAAATGGTATTATCGTATTTGATGAACCCTTTGATGCAAACATTCACTTAAAAATGTGGTTCCATAACGTTCAACTTTCAGAGCGTGTATTCAAATAGTTATAGCGGGTTTCTCCAGCCAAATTGTACAAAATAAAATGTAATTTAAGAAATAATTATTATAATGCAATCATTATTTCTTTCCCGGTTGTTTCAATGTTTAGCAATTATAGCTATTGTTGGCAACATTGAATATATGTATTTATGTGGTACAAATGTGTGGTGCAAACCGATTTTTGTCCCTGTGCTTTTGTTTTAATCTATAAGTAATGTTGATATAATAATTTTCAATACTACATTCAATATATTTTTTTCTGCGAGTTTATTATCAAAGGGAAGTAACCTCTGTAAATCGCTTTTATTGAATAGAATTTTTGTCTGGACGAAAATTATATGAAATAAATAACTGTTATGAATTGTGCAATGGTGTCTTAAATCATGTTTGTATATGAACATTTAAATAACCTTCTTAAGATGAAAGCCTTCATTTCCTTTGATTGTTTAGGGAAAATATATTCTCTAAAATACGAAAACGTAGATTGCTCAATGAAGTAATAAAGCAGGCAAATTCAAATACACAGTAAATAATGGATGATCTATAAGTGTGATAAAAGATGCGTAAAATCCTTTTAACACTTTATAACAGTACCAGAAAACTCTTCTTGAATAACTAGCATCTTGTTGTATTTTATCTATTGGATGAAATAACGTATAGATGTTGTTTGTAATGGAAGTAATGTAGAAATGATTAAAAATTATTGGCAGTTAAAAAAGAATTAATATGTTTATAGCAATGTCCATATCATACTTTTGTTGGGGGATTATTTCTAAAATATTGGCAATAAGGGTTAAAAATCTACAAACACTGACAATATACAATAATATCATTGATAACAACATTATATCTACACTGGTATCATGTAAATTCAAGAGAAAATGCAAATTTAAAGGAAAATGCATGTTAAAATGATTGCTGCACGTTCCTGTACACTGGGAAAATTCACGCCTAATATAAGTCAATGTACACAAGGAAATGCTTGCTTTATGTAAGTTCATGTAAAAAGAGTAAATGCGATTATGATATTATGATTTATAGATCCACTCGTATTGTAAAGTACAAGGGAAAATACACGCTCAATGTCAGTGAATGGGCAAATACACGTTTTATCTATACTTAGAGTTGATATCTAAATCATTGATGAAATAAATGATAAAGCGTTGGAAACATGCCATTTAATTTCAGTGCAGTTTTCAAGCTGTTACTTACAAGCAAAAACATGGTTTGAATATAAGTGCATATTGTTTGCGTATTTTTTTTTTTAATTGTTTGTATTGAATAACAAGTGTTATTTTTGAATAAACAAAAATATTCAAATGCAAATAAAGTTGATATAAAATAAACTAGATATGACATTGGGGTTGCATGGTTAATGCTATTGTATTGATTGATGTTAATTATGATATTGTTATGTACATAAAAACCAGCTTCATCTAATAAGCCTATTGGTACAGTATTGATTTACAATGACAAGTCTCGGAGATGAAGCCAATGTAAATAGAATATGATAAACTACCACCCTTGATTATCTAGTGTTTGAAAAATTATCTTCATATTATACCATACCATACCACCTGCAAGTTCCCATGCGGTTTCTTGTTGAATCGGGATAACTCCTTTTTATTAAGAATACAACAAAAATGAATTCAGGAACATAAATAAATGCTGTTGAGAAAATATTTCCGATTAAAAATTCATAATTTCCATTATAGCTAGATTTTTATACTGTCTAAAAAAAGAAAATATAGTTTATTAAATTCAGATGTTGTGTTTGTTTTGAATACGAATCAATGTGTGGACAATTTGTTGTCTTTATAGCTCAACAGATCATCAATGGTATTAGATGTGTTCTATTATAGATATAATAGATTTTACTACATTTCTCTCTACGTTTTGTTCTTGAGATAGTTGTCACTCGATTTGAATATGGTAGCAATAGTGTTAGATGACATATGAATCATAATAATGATGAGATCAAACTAAAAAATAAAGGTTTAAAAGGAAATAGAGTTTGATAAGTATTAGGAATACCAATGAACTGAATATATAATTATAACAAAATGTCTAATAAAACTAGTCTTAACTATGAAGCATCATAACATATAATGATAGTTAAATACACAATAACTGTATTGTTGTATCTTCTTGAGTGTTTTCTTTTCAATTACACTCTTTAAAATTATTTAGAAAAGTTAGGATTGTACCTCTAGGGTAGCTCTGCACAATACATAATTATAATCAAATACCATTATAAAAGTAGCATTTTCATATTGAAGTTAAATGTCTTCAAACATTAGTTAATAATATCCGACAGATATAAGTTAAATCGTAAAAATATTTTTTTACAAAAAATCAAAAATAAATTTCTATGGGGTTTGCAATAACTAAATCAAAATTATCAATGAAATAGAAGGTGGGAAACATTTTTACGAAATAACTATTTTAAGATAAACACCTTGCTATCACACCAGTAATAAAGACGGGGGGGGGGATTATACACACTGCAATAAAGCCATAACCTCAGGCACAATCACTTCTGCGTCCATTGTAAATGTAATAACATGGCGATATTGCATCTTGCCTGATCTTACATAAGCATGAAATAAAATCAATGTTGAAAAATAGCAATGTGTTTAAATATCTTGTTTATCCATATAATGACACTTAAACGCAACTAAACTGTTTGTTTGTGTTTAATGTATACTAACAGAATGCATACTTACAGAAATGCATTGACCAAGTGACATAATTCCACACTGTGAAGAAAGACGATTTGATAACTATTAAACATTTTGTTACTTAAACTGGAATACTGATATCTTTGAGAAGAGCGTATGTCTTTAAAAAGAGATGTTTTCATGTGAAGTGAGCAAATGCAGTTCCGTTTGTAATTAAAAATAAATCTTATCTGGAAATTTCTTGTTAAAGTAGGTTTATTAAATACAGTCGAGCTATTTTCAACTTTTAAAATTTTCATTTGCAATTAAAACGGCTATTTTACTTTATGGCAAGCGTTATATACGGTTATTAAAACAATTTAAAAAGTATACTCATAAATGTAATTAAGTTACAAAATAATGTTTGTGATATCCTTGAAATATTTTTTGTTTTCGTTTAATGTAGTTTAACGTATATATATAAATGTTTTGTGTATAAAGTATATATGAAAAAACAAATGCTTCTACAGATGTGAGTGGTATCTTATCATCGAACATGAGCATTTTAAAAATAGCTCGTAACCCTTGATAGCAAACAGTAAAATGAATGAATTTACTGCGTAGAAACATATCCTAAGATCTCGTGAGAAATTAATTAACTGTTCAATATTACCATAGAGTAAATATGACAATAATGTGGCATAAAAATGTATTCTTGACAAGTTTATGAGGATTTTTCCCCCCATCCAATCAAATCGATGGTAAGCATTTAAGATTTATAGATCCGTCTATAGTAAATTACTACATTTAGTAGAATTCAAAGTACCTGATAACAATGATTTGAATATTATGCAGTTACTTTTTGCATAACCCTCTCCAGCTTAGATTTTTCTTTTCGAAAATTTACAGCAGAAAGTAGCAAAGTAGACTGACAAATATTACAGAGATATTCTTGTCTCATAAATATATTATGATTTTGGCAAACATTAATATGGTTAAATCATTTATATGAATGACCGTATTGTCAAATTAGATGGAATTTATAAAAGCTTGAATATATTGTTCTTCAAATTTGATGTTGCTTTTTCTATTCTATTTCAATAAAATGTATATTGTGATCTGTTATTGCAGATTGTCAATTATTCATACATTTGTATATTATCAATTATTTATACATTTGATATGCTTATGTCCGCTCTTTATCATTGTTATTTCCCTAGAGAGATTGCCTTACATTTTGTGGCATTCATCTCTGGGACATTTCAATGTTGTCTTGAGGTTAGCACTACGTGTACAGTAATTTATGAATGACAACATTATTATATTTCATGCTCTTATTCAGCTAATATTCTCCGTATTTTCCTATACAACATTGTAAACTGCAAGGAATATAATGTATCCATGTAAAGTGTTGTAAATAGATATAAATTTTAGGTGCGTTGGTGTAGAAAAATGTACGGTTCGAGTACAGATGCGCTGAAATATTACACGAACGCCGATAGGCATGATTGTCTAATTTTTACAAAGCATTTGAACGATAGATAATACATTGTTTTACTACTACGCAATAGTTATTAATATAAAATTCCATTCTGACCAGAATGTTTATATAATAGAGGGTAGATAAAATGTGTTGAAATACAT